CAACCACTATAGCCAACTATAAAATTGAAGAATTCTGCCTTCTTCAGTCTGAAATTGATCAAACAGGTAGTTAAGATGCATTGATCATTACAAAGATGCATTGATCATTGCAATGATCCAATGTTAGTGGAGTCGTTCTGCAGAGAGGTAGACGGAGCTCAGTAACAACTTTAAAGTCACACTGGGAACAGAGCCAATTTACCACTCTTTCCCACACAGCATCTGCCACAACTCTCTGGGTCAATAATTCCTCCAATAAATATGACCATCACAACACTGCTGGTAGCTACATGGTGGTCCCCCAGTGACATTAAGAAATAGGTCAAAATCTTATCTCTCAAGTCACAACTAAGGCATAGTAGGGTCAACAAGTAAGAGAGATGCGACTGGAACCCAGTCTTGTGCTCTTCTCAAAATACGATATTGTTGTTGTGTCCCATTGAGCTGAATTTAGTCTCACTGGGACACAATTTGACAGAGTAGAACTGCCCCATGGGGTTTTCTACACTGTAATTTTTGTGGGATCAGATCACCAGGTCTTTTCCATCATACAATGAGATGGTTCAAAGGATGGTTAGCAAGCAAGCACTCTATAATAAGGTTCCTTGACATATACCATACTGCTTCACAAAGATGTCCCCAGTCCTTATGCCTGAAGAGGTGGCAAAAATAATTGAAGGCAACTTCTTCTCTGGAGTGATTTGAAGACCATCTTTCCTGAAGGCAAAAGGAAGAAGAGCTGAGCCTATGCCTATTGGAGAACCCAGTGGGTCCATCCAGACTATAAAGGGAGAAGATGAGTCTAGACCAATGCCTAACATAATGGAGGTAATGCCAGTCCAAAAACAATCCTGCAAAGCTCTGGATCAAGACTTCCTACCCAGAGTTAGAAAATGAACTGATATCCCTTCAGCTCTAATTCAGAGGCATCTGAGCAATGCAGTGCAGTGAGTTTTCCACATTTAAGTCCAATATCATAAGGAATTTCAATTCCCCAAATCCCTTCTCTCTTTTCAGCCAGCTGTCTCCTTTCTTCATAGTGCTCTTTGTGTGGAGGGCCTCCCTACCACCCCTGGCCCAATCAGCTCCTATCATGGAAAGAATTCTGTTTCCCGCTAAAAGGGAAAAGAAAATTCACCCATTGAACCAAGGCAAATTGCGGTGACAGCGTGGAAACCCTGGAGAGACACTATATTGATTTAAATGTTCATGTTAGTAAGGTAGGAAAAAGGAGGCGAAAGGGAGAAAGAGCTGGATGGGAAGGGGGAGGGAAAGCAGAGAGGTGGAGGGAAAAAATGGTCGGGGGAGTGCCAAACTCTGTCAGTCTATGCCCACAGAGATCTTCCAAAGTGACTTAGTGAGGGCACCAGGAGAAACAGTATTTATAATAGAAAGGGGGTCTGGCAAGAAACATTGCACTCTTCTATACTTGCTCCTCTCAGATGGAGGGCTCCACTGTCTCCCTCTTGTGGGGATCAACACTGCCAACTGCAGGCCAGGAATTCCTGCTGAGAAACCCCAATGAGAATGGGTAGCAGGCAGCAGGGCACAGCCATAGCCTGCAAAGTGTTTGCTGGGAAGCTGTGAATCCTTCTGAATGGCCTGAAAATAACAGGCCCTAATCAATGTCCACTTACTTGGTTCTTTCTGCATTAACAGTCATCTTTAGATACAGTCATAAGGGCTCACATAGTTGCTGCACTTGGTAAGTTACTAAGCACAGTATCTCATTGAATCCTTGCTTTTATTATTGCTAGTTGCTGTTGAGGGCTCTGACTTACAGCAGCATCATGTATAACAGAAGAAACTGTTGCCCAATCCTGTGCCATCTTTACCATTATCGGTATCTTCAAATCCACTGTGGCAGCCACTGTGTATTTTGAATGTCTTCATGGGGGACTTACCTCCCAGCACTCTATCAGACACTATTTGGGTGTGATCCATAGGGTTTTCATTGGCTAATTTTTGGCAACTAGATCACAAAGTCTTTCTTCCTATGCTATCTTAGTCTGGAAGCTCCACTGAAGCTTGTTCCCATAGGTGAACTTATTGGTATTTGAAAAATAGCAGTGGCATAGTTTCAGCATCACAGCAACATGCAAGTCATCACACAGCATAACAAGTGAACCAATATGTGGAGGGTCTAACCCTCATTGCTTCCCAAGAAGGGAGAAACTACTCTTACTGCTTTACAGATGAAGAAACTGAGCTTGATGAAATGATATGATCTGCTTAGGATTTGGGCAACCACAGCACCTTGCTCTGTACATTGAGTCTAGCTCTCAGTGGTTAGAAAGCATCCTCCAAATCTCCAAGGGAAAGAGGCTTAGCCCTTCTCCCCCTTCCTCCTACTCTTGTGTCATGTGATAATATCCCTTCTCCCAAACTGACACCTGTCCCCACAGACTAAACTCCCATTCTGGATCTGTAGTCAGACTGATTTTCAGAACAGTCTCCATGTGTTTCTTCTGACATGTGAACTACCCTGGAACATTCTCAAGCAGTCAGGATCCATTCAACAAACGTCTTTTTAGTTTCTATTGAAACATAGGGATACTGTGATTTTAAAAAAGAAAAATAATGCCAAGTCTAATGGACCAGGAATAATTCTCTCCACTGAACAGAGGCACAAGAAAAACTCAAAATAAGCCAGTCACCTCAGGCACCATGCAAATCAGTCAGTCAGAATCTAAGACTTCTTTGCACCCAAAATGCTATCTGCATTTAGTAGGCTCCAGAGGGTGGGGAGATTGGACAAGGTCGCCTTGGGAATGGCCCTACCCCCCAGGAATCCCTCAGGTAGTTCTGAGGCAGACTTGACAATACCATGACTATTATTCCTGAAGGCTTACTCCCATCCATTCTAGGTTTGAGTTTTGTCACACACTAAATACATAACAGGAAGAAAATCACTTCTCCTAGCTGATCTTGGTTCCCTCAGGCAGGATTTGCAATTAGATGAGCTGATTTCTTCTTGCTGCCTAATGTGCTGGTGGTGAGTGCAGTCCAACCTCACCGGGCTGGTTGCTGTTGAGGGTGTTGACTGAGTTCATCTGTTTACCAAGACAGATGCAGCTGTCCTGCGTCCGATTATTTCATCAGAGGCGCTGACAGACCCTCTCGGGCAGGGCTTTTGGCACAGCCTCACTGAGGAACATCTCCAATCATTGCTTGTCCTCATCAAATTCAGATTTATGGAGTGTGAGGCTGGAAGAGGCCCCAGAAAGGTCATTGGTACACATGGTCTCCAGGCCCTTGGGAGCTCATGTTCTGACTCATGGACCTTTTCCCAAGACATATATCCGATAGGATGAATGTGGTAAATGGGGCTGAGAAACCCACCATTTGACCTAGGTGACCCAGCAACTTTACAGCAAAGTAGTACCAATCCTTAGAGGAAACCCATGAAATATTATTTCAACTATATATTATATATATATTAGTAGCTGTGGTAGCATAGTGGTTACGAATCAGGCTGCGCACCACAAGGTCAGCAATTCGAAACTACCAGCTGTTCTGCAGGAGAAAGATGAGGCTTTCTGCTCCTGTAAAGGTTTACAGCCTCAGAAACCCTGTACAGGGTTGCTATGGGTCAGAACTGACTCCACAGCACATAACCATCATATATTTTTTATCCATATATTTATGCCCAGGGTGAGGGACAATATGAGGAGAAGATCATAAATGTAAACAAATTTTATCATATTTATCCTTGAGTAATGGATAGTACCTATAGACAGTGTTTTCAGGCATTATGATGTGGTGGTTTTGTGCTGTGGACTCAGTTCCTACTCATAACGACCCTATATAGGGTTTTCGAGGCTGTAACTCTTTACAGGAGCAGAAAGCCACATCTTTCTCCCACGGAACAGCAAGTAGTTTCCATCTGTTGTCCTTGCAGTTCGCAGCCCGATTTGTAATTACTACGCTACCAGAGCAGCTATTATTCCGAGTCCTTTTTATACTTTTACTCACATATTCCTCACAACAATCCTATGAGGAAGGTATAATAAGCCCCATTTTACTCACAAGATATCTGTGTGAGAGTGAAAATTTCTTGCCTGGGAGTTGAACCAAGAAAGTTGGCCACTACACTCTTACCCATTGTGCTCAGCATGGCTAGAGTAACAAGTTAATTCATGCACTTAAAAACAGAAGAGTCTATCAGTAATTCCTAAAACTGGTGGTACGGGGTACAAATGTGTGAGGTCTAAGAGGTAGAAGAGATCCATGTGGAATAGAGGATTTGGGGTAGACATCTCTGAGGAGGATGGTTTTGGAATAGTAGTCTTTGTAGGACTATTACTACCTACAAGGAGCTCTGGTAGCGTAGTGGTTATGAGTCGGGCTACTAACCCCATGGTCAGCAGTTCGAAACTACCAGCTGTTCCTCAGGAGAAAGATGAGGCTTTCTGCTCCCATAAAAATTTACAGCCTTGGAAACCCTGTACAGGGTCACTATGAGTCAGAACCTATTCCACGGCACATCACCACCACCAGTTGCTGGAGAGTCTACTGCAACTCATATATGTGTCACAGTCAAACTGTGTCCCATAGGTTTTTGATGGCTATGATCTTCAGAAGTAGAGTTTTAAACCTTTCTTTCAAGACAACACTGGATGGACTCAAACTTTCAACCTTTCGGTTAGCACCTGGGTGCATTGACCATTTGCACAGTTAAGGACTCCCTTTCCAGGACAGGTAGGATGTATGCAAATAAATTCTCCTATGACATGCTATGGAGTTCTGGTGAATAAGCACTAGACTGAAAGGTTGGTGGCTCAAACCCATCAGCCGCTCCTTGGAAACCTGACACAGGGTCACTATGAGTGGGAACTGACTTGACGGCACTCAGCAACAACAACAACAATGACAGGGCATGCTGGGAGCAGAGAAGGGCATAAGCACTAAGTGGGTTGGGGGGTTTGGGATGACATGGTGAGTGGAAAAGTCCCGATATGGTTTGTTCTCACTCCTTCTCAATACCCTCATGGTTTCAGGTCCAGAGACTTCGACTTCGGAGTGTCTGTAAGAGGATGCACATCACAGACATTGCAGGCAAAGGCTTGCTTCCTTCTGGGTTAGTGGGCGATGAGGAAGGTAAAGGATGCCAGTGGTTCTGCAGGTGGGACTGGCAGTATATGGTCTTCAGGATTTTCATAGCTTGCCTATTGTGGTTCTCAGTCATTTTTATACATGGAGCATAATTTCATACTGTAATATAATTAAGGACTGCAGACTAAAAGGGATTCAATTATACTCTCCATTATTAAACTAAAAGGAATCTTGGTGGCATAATGGTTAAACACTTGGCTGCTAACCAAAAGGCCAATGGTTTGAACCTGCAAGCAGCTCTGTGGGAAGGGCCTAGCAGTTGACTCCTGAAAAGATTGTTGTTGTTGTTAAGTGCTGAGTCCTAACTCACAGTGACCCAACATAGGGTTTCCGAAGAGCGGCTGGAGAGCTTGAACTGCCAACCTTGAAGTTCAAACTGACCTTGCAGTCTAGCGCGTTAACCCACAGCACCACATCAGGAAGACTGCAGTCTAGAAAACTCTATGAAGCATTCTTCTCTAAGTTGAAAATGGACTCAACAACACCTAACAACCACTGTTATATAAATAACATGCTGGTCTTTCTGCCCGGCTTTGCTTTTTCACACATCACCAGCAGAATGCTTGAATATTATGCTGACAGCACCATCATCATGATTTGTCATCATGCAATGCCTCCCACCCTGCTCTACTCCGAGTCTGGGTCCAGGTGCATACCTCAGAACAGCACGCATCCATCCTCAGTGAGTCCAGAGTCAGTTTCAGACATTGTGCACAGTTCGGCAGCACCCTTCTGGAGAGGCAGGCTACACATGTATTCTTTGACAATGTGTGAAGACCACTCTGCCATGGTTGGTAATCAGAACCATGTCCTGGAGACAAGATGGAGAGTAAAGTACATGTGGATTTCCAAGAGGGAAATTCTGGCTTATAGTTTTAGGAACTGCCACTAAACTACATTGCCTTCAAGAGCTCATTTTACCAATGGAACTTCTGAGGGACAGGACTCATTCCCCTCTTTCACGTTTACCCTACTTCCTCCATCCCCACAGCACACACATACTCACACCCATTCAAAAATAGAAAAGGTCAGACCGCAAACATTCCCTTGCTTGCTCTGTCCCCGTAGCTTTATTTTTAGACTAGCAAAGACCCTTTCCTCTTCTGACTCATAGACTCACAGATGATTCTGCCCTTAATTGAGCAAGCTAAATAAAATTCATTCCTCATGTCACGTTCATGAATCAAAGAGACCTTTGTGACCTTGCTTTGTGAGTTTGTTGTCTCCCCTCCTCAAAGAGTGTCCTCTGTGCCTTCTGCAGACCAGGGCACTAAGGCCAAATAATCCCTTCTGTACCATCCAACTATGACTCACATCACCACCACCACCACCATTCCCCATCCCTGCCACCAATACACACACACACACATGCACACGCCCCAAGCTAAGATTCAATTTAGCTTCTTGGATGGTGTTATTGGTCATTTGCTCAGGAGTTTTGACGATAGAGGTAAATCCAGTGTGAGACTGGTCCTTAGGTAGAACTTGCATTTATGGATGAATAGCACCCTTTAGTGGTTCAAGTCTACAGTCTCTTTTTTGAAGTCCTTAGAGTTCTTGTATTGAGAATTTTGGAGATTTTGGAAAGACACAAATATTGTATATTATGTCACCCTCTTGGGTGCCAGGTCAGCACCTGATAATAAAATGCATTTTTATTTATAATATAATAATGTTAATAGAAACACATGCATGGTTTTAGAGCATTTCGGTTTGTAGAATTTTGAATAATTTTGGGTTTATAGAGCTTTTGAATTTCTGATTTGCAGTTAGGAGATTATAGATGCCCATGTCTGGAGGGGACTGTTGTTGTTGTTATGTGCCGTGGAGTCGGTTTCGACTCATAAGGACCCTGTACAGGGTTTCCGAGGCTGATAATCTTTACGGGAGCAGAACGCCTCATCTTTCTCCGGCAGAACAGCTGGTAGTTTTGAACTGTTGACCTTGGAGGGGACTAGCCACATGTTATTAGTGTACTTTCTAGACTCTAGTACATCCTTAGCCTGGGAGATTACGATGTGTTTTGGAACCAAATCTACCTTGTGACAGCTGGGTGGCAGTCTCAGCTCTAAGGTATGATTTTGGCTAGCTCTAGTCCTATAAGATAAGCACTGGACTGCTAACTGCAAGGTTGGCAGTTCATACCCTCAGAAACCCTATACAAGGTTGCTGTGAGTCAGAAATGACTTAATGGTACTTAACAACAGCAGTACCTTTTTCAAACTACAGTTTCACTAGCTTTACATTCAGTCCTGAAATCTGCCAAACCCCACTCCTTCCCTCTTACAGCCTTCTAGTTAGTTTATTCCTTATTGGTCCCTCAGTGGTGGTGGTGGTGGTGTGCCATGGAGTTGGTTCCAACTCATAGCAACCCTGTATGGGGTTTCTGAGGCTGTAAATCTTTACGGGATCAGAAAGCCTCATCTTTCTGCTGTGGAACCACTAGTAGTTATGAACTGCTAACATTGACGTTAGCAGCCCAACTCGTAACCATTATGCTACCAGAGCTCCTTTGGTTCCTCAGTAGTGAGTGAAATTAAGTCAGGAATATGAAACTAGAAACTAAACTAGAGACATATGTGTTTTCTGTGGGTTTCAATCGTCCAGGTACATACCCTTCTTTCATACCCTTCTGTGGAGAATAGGTACTTGCTTATAAACATCACAGACTCTGAGTGATCTCTACTACCAGCAAAGTGACTGACATTTTTCTAGCAAAATCCTATAGAACCATCATTTAAGATAATGCGCCTAACAATTCTGGTAGTAATGATCTCATTTTACAGATGAAAAAACAGAGTTTCAGAGGGATTAAATCTTTGACAAAAGACTACTGTGTTTTATATGGTTTACTACTTGCAGTCCAGTCAACCTGGCTCATGGCATCCCCATATGTGTTAGAGTAGAATTATGTTCCTTACAGTTTCCTATGACCGACTTTTCGAAATAGATTGCCAAGACTTTCTTTTGCCAAGTGTCTCTGGTGGACTGGAACATTCAGTCTTGCAGCAAGCAGCTGAACTCATTAATGGTTTGTACCACCAAAGGACCTCCACCCAGGATTGTTGTTATTGTCATTAAGTGCCTATGAGTTGGTTCTGAATCACAGAGACCCTGTGAAGGGTTTCCAAGGAGCGGCTGGTGAGTTTGAACCACCAACCTACAGTTCAAACTGACCTTGTGGTCCAGTGCATTATCTCACAGTGCCACCCAGGATAGGATAGACTTAATCTCAAATCTTCTTATGTTTACTTATGATTCCTTCAACCAGTCACTTTGGAACAAATATTCATCACAGTGTTGGCTTGGAAATTCCCATGATAATGGTGTTTCCAAAGGTTCTGGTCATTAATATACTCCCAAATTACAAATGTGCTCTATCTCCCAATCTCTTCCACACAATCCCTAACTGTCCTGGAAGGTTGTCTCTTATGGTTGCAGGGACCCAAGATAGCAGGCAATAAAGGTATAGGCATACAGCTGTGTTTCCTGCCACTCTCCTTCCTTCACTCCCATGGAAAAGAAACCCAATCTCCCCAGCCCAGCCTTTGGACTCCTAAGAGGCTTGGCCATGCAGTGTCTGCTTGGATTATCTTTATTGGCCTGGTAGCCATTGCTAAACCTCTGGGGAAGTGAACCAGATGTCCCCATTTGACCAGCAATTGCAGTTGGGTCCAGCAACGTCCAGCTGTTCCAGGCTCCATTTGCAGAGTGTCCCATTTATCCTGGATTTCCTAGTGTCATAACCAAGCTGCCAGAGAGGAAAAGGATGCTCCATTCCTGACATCAGGGGGAAAATATGAACCAGGAATGTAGGAAATGCTGTAAAGCATTGTTTTCTTCCTGAGATATACTCACCCATCCTTTTTTTTCTCCTCACTGAGTTGAGAAGGTTTGTTTTGCTTTCTTTCCTTGAAGAATCTGATCCAGGCATCTCTCCTTTCAGAAAAGTTCTCCCAATCTGTTCTGAAAATCTGCTGTATTTTAAGGTCATTTCCATTAAGGGATTAGTTTTTGGGTTTTAGCTCTATATCTTTTGATCAGATCTACCAAGGAGAGTTCTAAGTCCAGGAATTATTAGCGGCCTTTGAACCTCCACCCTCCCTGTCTACTCAAGTATTCATTTCTCACAATTGGGATAAGATGTCACTGTAGTGTGAGTTTGACAAAAGCAGAGGAAGCCAACTTGCCTTAAAGTCAGTGCCTAAAGTGGGTTGGCTTAAGGTGTTATAAAGAAAACCATACTGTTTGAGATGCCTGTCCTGATCTGATTTGCTGTGTAGGTTGGGGTTTCCTGGTTCACAAAGGTTTCTAGGAACTATTATCCACCTCGTCCCAATACAGAGGTGGATCCCAAGCAGATTTATGAGTAACTTGGTCTTGCTTGCTTGGGTCCAGATCAGGAATGGGCCTATCAGAGTCGTTTTCCAAAAACTCAGACTTGAAATGGAGATGTAAATCTTTTAGACTGGTCTCAAACTGTCTTAGGTTAGTCTCAACAAGCCAGAGAGCAGAGAAGGTCATGTAGAGAGAGGAATGAAATAAAGCATAAAGAGAAAATTTGGCTGAAGTCAACCAAAAGGGAAAGACAGATGACTAGGAATCTAGAGCATCAGTTTTATGCATTTAAGCTTTCTTTTTCTTTTCAGTAATCCACTTAATTCTGCCCAAACAAAAAGAGATGATTTATGAAGGATGCTACAATAAGTGGGCAAAACTTAAAGAGAACTAGGATATTTGTATGTAAAAAAAGTAAAAGCTTGCCAATTACCAAGAGGAACTAGTAACTTTACAGTTAAGGAACCTGGCAGAGGCTTCCTTAACAAAGTCATTAAGATTAACATCACCAGTAATGGGACATAGAAACAGCATGCTTTTCCTTGAACACGCACTGAGAGGGACACAAGATCACTTCTGAGGTATTTTTGTCCAAAATGTATAGTCTCAATCTAGTCATGAGAAAATATCAGACAAACCCAAATTTAGAAACATTCTACAAAATGACAAGTTCTCTTCAAAAGTGTCATGGTTATGAAAGCCAAAACAAAACCAAACCTCAGAAACTGTCCTAGATTAAAGGAGACATGACAAGTAAATGCAATGTGGGACCCTAAATTCGATTCCTTAACAGAAAAAGGTGTTGTTGTTGTTGTTGTTAAGTGCTGTTAAGACAGTTTGAACTTATAGCAACACTGTATAGGGTTTTCAAGAAGCAACTGGTGAGCTTGAACTGACGACCTTGTGTTTCAAACCATTGCAGTCCATTTCATTAATCCACTTATCACACCAGGCCTCCAGAAAAAGGCATAAATAGGAAAAAATCATTGATCCCAAATAAAACTATGGTTTAGTTCATAGTCTCATACCTGTAATGGTTAGGGTTCTATGGCAAAGTGACTAGCCCAGGATTCCCATCGTTTAGCAGTTGTTATTGTTATTGTTAAGTGCCATCGTGTTGGTTCCAACCCATAGTGACCCTGTAAAGGGTTTCTGAGGAGCAGCTGGTGAGCTTGAACTGTCATTTATCAGTTGTTGTTGTTGTCAGGTGCCATTGAGTCAGAACCGACCCATAGCGACCCTATGCACAGCAGAACGAAACAATGTTCGATCCTGGGCCAACCTCACT